GCATGGTAGTTCTCCGCATGATAGGTGTTCGGGCGTCTGGCATCGAAGTCCGCACATGGACAGAGCCGATCCCTAGGTTCGAGTGTGCGACACGGTTGCTCAGTCTCAGACCGACTTTGCTAGTGGCTAGGTCTGCTGGGCGACCCGAGAAGTCATAGCCATCCCCGTAAGACCGAATATTCTCGGTGACCTCAACTGGGAGTCCCGTAGGGGATCATCACCTCAGGTGTAAACTCAGCCTTCAACATGCGTAGGTGAGACATAACCCTTGTAAGACCGCTCCCATATACCTGTGGCGACTCTCATGGTCCCGGCTACTGGCTTCCTAATCACGGTATAACAGCAATCTCAACTGGGATTCGGCAGACCACTTCTTATCAAAGCCAGAATTTGAGTCTTACAGCATATTGCCGTGCGAGTGTAGAAGCTCCCAAGTGGTAGCATGCAAGAGACGGGTATGCACTGTTGCTGGGAATATTCGCTGCATTTTGGATTCGCGGGCACTTGGATTGGAAAACCGCGGCGCGACTTTTGTATCTGGGATTTGAGCAATATGAATGAACTGCACCGTCGAGCACCTAACTCTTATATCCATTCCTCCCCCTTAATGCCTCACTGTGTTGCCCTCAAGGTCGCCAACAAGGTCCTCTTGCGGCTCGGTGAGGCTAAAGCAATTAACAAATGGACGTTGCAATCACAATATTTCACGCTTATGCTTGGGACGCCCAACGATGACAGGAGTAGCAGCGAATCATTTGAGAGATTCCCATGCCGGGTAAAGATAAGGCGAGATCAAGTGAAAACAGGTATCTTGACTGATCCTCTAAGCCCGTGAGCATGACCGCAACGTGTAGATCTCAGCTGATTACTAGATACGCAGAGTGCGACACCCCGCTTGTCAGAAATCATTTCAAGGTAGAACCTGGGCATTGCGCTCATCCCTTCCCAGTCGACGCCCGAACAAGCCGTGGCTCATATGTGGTACCCTGCATAATTCGTGGCCCGAAGATGTTCTTTGTTATGCATTTCGACGGGCGACAACTTGCTCAAGTTTACTTTTGCATCCTTTGCCTGGGTCAATGCCGCTGAATCAGAGTGCTATGTGGTCCTATTACGTGTATTTAGTGAAACCGGGTTACTGACGCTATTAGTAGCTGGTTATTACATCTCAAGATGCGTTTGCCGGCCGCCCTCGTGGCAGCGCCAAGCACCATGGCCGCTCTAACATCAACTCAACGTCAAAAGACTTTTTTTCCTTTTCAATATAGGAAATTCTACGCTGTTTTCTCCGAAACTCGGTTCCCTTATACATTCGGTCAGAGACTTGCCCATTTGTCCAAGTCGTCGCATGCATCATGGGCTGTCCTGTCAATTTCAGCCACTTCCTCATTGGCGCCGTTTTCGGCTTCTTCATAACGACTTGTTTGTTTATCCTAGTCTTCTGGATGGAGAGTTTTCGGAAACGTCGATCGGAACAGCAGCGCCTGGAAGCACTAGAGCAACACCCAACCTCGGTACCACGGCTACCAACGCTGCGGTTCGACGACATCCCAATCGTGGTTAAAGGCCAGTCACAAGCGCAAACAGAGTCGAAGCATCCAAGGCCAAGTCGCTTTGTGGAGGATATATGAAGCATGCGCGGTATCACGTCAAACGGCTCTAGGTTGTTGGCATCACAGCGGCAGGAAGTGTCATACACAGTTCCATTATTGGCCATGAGAACCCGGTGGATTTGAGGCTTCGGATACTGCAACAGCCGAGTCGGACCTCATCTTGGATCACCAATGAACCTTGCTTCGAAGCCTCCGGTCATCTTTCTTCCTGCACACGTACACAAACCATACCTGTTTATTCGGCAACGTGTCAACTCCCCGAACCAATATTGACATCTGGTTCTATAGGCCGCTCATTGCACCGGATGTGTAGCCATCTATATGCCAAAGATGAGCCAGCGGATTCATAATTTCGAATTCGAATCATAAATGAAGTTTCAAATAGACAAATGGATTCCATCACGCCTACTACGATATTTCGAGATGCGTTGTCATAACAGCGTAGCAAGGGACTGAATTCCAAAAAACCGGAATTTATCGCGAGTTGCATGCTTGTTATCTTGTCACACCTGCGACCTAAGGCTTCTGTTATCATTCAAAGCGTGGCGCATTATACACCGAGGTCTAAGTACCGAACTCCCGTGCTCATTCCAACGCTGAGGGAGCATTGCGGGTAGGTCCACCTCCCTTGTCTTCAATCTTGTAGCCTTTGTCGGTATCCCGAATTCATACTCCTGGGGCCTGGTTAGCCACATTCGTTGAATAACCAACAATTAGTAACGTCATTTGATCTTCTTCCTTATTATTCCACCAGTATTGCGACCCTTTAACTACACTGATTACTCTAAGCCCGAAGATAGACAATAAACCAAGGGTTCTGGCGTGTATGAGTTGCATATTTCTGCATATACTTACTCCCTGCCGCATGCCTTAAGGTTGGTCATAAACCCAACAATACCGGATTCTCATCATTTTCATCATGGTTCTATATATCATGGTTTATGAGTACTGCCAACAATTTTCAAACAGCCAAAGCGAGGACAATGAAATGCTGACTATTGCCCCTGAGCCGTGGCCGAGAGCTGCAGCAGTTCTATTACACCGTATTAGGCTTTTTATTCGACCCTGAGTTGCCTACCTTACTCATCCCACTTGTTCAATATTCTCTAGGTACTATTCTGGATCTTCGTCTCAACCTCGGTCAATGTTAAAAGACATGCCCCCCTTTCAACCACCCTAGAGTCGTTGATCTTGCGCACAACGTCCCTTTACCAGACAGTCACCATCGCCTTTGCAGCTTCTACTACGCACAGGATGGCATATCTGAGCCTAGACGCCAAGGTCTATATAATAGTCTTTGCAGTTTTCGGCGTCTGTCTAGTCGCCATCTTGTGTTACCGCCTCGTCAAGAGAAATAGCGACAGAGATGACAACAATGAGCAAGGTAGCGAACCCGACGGACCCAAGGAACCACAAGATCCTGCCTTGGATGAAACTGGAAGCCCCGGCAGCTACTATTCTCGACTGGAACCAACCAAACCTGCACGGGTACAGCACCAGCGAGCTTGGATGCCTCAAGTACAACGGGTAGGGAGGCACCAAGGTTACGAACTCCATGAAGGAAATACTGCAACTGAGAGCCCCCAGGCTGCGCAGATCGATAATTATACACCATGAGATGTACACCATTTGACAAGACGGTGGACCTGGAATATTGGAGTTGTGGCTATGTTGCCCGGTTCGTTGTTAAACCGGCTTAGCATTTAAGTTGGGAAAGCCGCGGCCTAAGCCAAACTTCTTTCTCTCGCAAACGCGCCTTATTTACCCGATATCAGCTCATGTAACCGCCTTTTGACCTCTATGGTTTTAATATCACTCGGCCTCGACTCAATACTCTCGAGCCGAGCAGCAAGCTGAGTCGGACTATCCGGCATCGCCTCAGGATCCCCAAACAGGTCCATGCAACAGTCCACCACGCCCCGGAAATCCACGAGCACGATCATCGTCTTTTCACCACAGACATCGACGAAGAAATTGGTGCCACGGAACATAACACCCCACTCCTTCGTACCGCTAAGCTCGATGTCGTGCATCGCCGCGGGCGCCGCCAGCTTTCGGGGCGTAACCGCGACGTCAACCTGTACGGTGCCCACGAAACCGCAGTATCGGCATTCGATTGCTAAAGGCCCGCCGAAGGAGCAGTTTTCGTGTACTTTGTTGCCCTGGGGTGTTTCGTGGTATTGCTTAGCATGCATGCAACAGACTGGATAATAAGTATTGCAAATACGAGGTTTCAAACAGTTTGGTCAGCAAAAACAAGGCGCCTTTACCTTTGCTAGTTCGGTCTTCTGTCGGGTCTCCGCCTCGCGAATCTTCTCCTCGAGCGCGGGGCGGTAGTTCTCCCACGTCTTGTGTAATTCGAGGTTCTCGCGGAAGGCCGATAGGATTCCGACCATGGTGCCCCCTTGGGAATCCCTGAATGCCTTTTCTAACCTCGAGGGCTTGAACGGTGCACTCGAGGGCCGTTCTGGCTCTGGGGGTCGCGTGGGTTTCGGTTTTGTCGTCGTTGAGCTTTGCTCTGAATTCTTATTCTTGGCTCGGCGGGGCGGTTGACATCTAGTCGGGGCCGCGGTCGGCTTCTTCGGTGCCTTTTTCTTTTCTCGGTCTTCTAGGAATGCGTCACGGATATGCCCAACTAGTTTTTTGTAACGCTCGTTCTCTTGCTCGTGGTAGATCTCGCATTCCATCATGAAATGGTCGAGGCAATATGCCTGCAGGCAAGGAGGCGGCCATAATCGTAATGGGTACGATTTTCTTTCCGACGCTGGTTCGTGGTCGTGTCGACTGTGTTGCTCTGGGTTGCTGTCAATCGTATCATTGCCTTCGACTCCTGGCGACTCGGCCGTTTCAGACATGTTTATCATAAATGTTAAAAAAAACAGAACGCTTGATTCGAGTTGCTATTATAGTTATGTACGTGATTATTATGCCTCGTTTACAATATATAGAACAGGACAACCTATATGCTCGTTACTAGATGTGATCTTTGTGTTTTTGCCCCCGATGGCTCTTTTTCTTCTTTTCCTTGCCGATTCTGCGGCGTGATTCCTGTTAGACAATGGCTGCTTTCCGGAAACATCCAGACTAAGTCAGATGCTAAGGCAGAACAAAGGTTGGCCTCAACATCTTATCCTCGGCACTCGTAACGCGATTCTCGAATGCAAAGCGGCAGACAGCGGCACGGACGCCGATTTAAATCCCGGTTCTGAGGCACGGCACCGGCCGCGGGTTACTCGTTGCTCCGTCCGAGTCGACCGCACCGCTCCGACACCGAACCTACCTCAAGCGTATGGAAAAGGGGCTACAGGCAAATACCACCTCCGGACGATACGGTATCCCGGTAGCGGAAGGATGTTAAGTGGAAGAACCCTATGTGTGGCCATCAACGGCAAGATGGCCGAGCGGTTAAGGCGGAAGACTCAAGTGCATTCTTGCCCGTGCAACGGGTCGTATTCTTCTGGGGCAACCCGCGTGGGTTCGAATCCCACTCTTGTCAACATTTTTTCGTTTTAGGTTATTATTATCTTTTTTATGTTGATTTGATGATAATTCTTTTTTTAGAGGTATTAATTGATGTACATTATGTAGTCCGTATTGTAGAGGTGAGTTCCGGACTACAACACAAAAGCAAAAGTGCAAAAGTGTGTGACGGTTTGTGAGCACTGAGTTAGTACCCGTAACTTTAACTCGAAAAGCTTGGCTGGTTGGCCGGCAGGCCGGGCAGACAACGGGGTTACGTAAAGGAATGTGTCCAGTGAAGTTATGGAGGACCCTGTTTTTGGAGCCTATCTGGGAATTCTATCTATGTAGCCCCTTTCCATACCAACAGCTCAACGTTTGCGTGCAAAAACACCATGCTTGAATTCGCTGTAGACCAGAACAGCCAATATCTACCTACCTATGCTAATCGAGATCACCCTGAACCGGCCAATAGGAGATGTGATGATCGTTTCCTTAGCGATGCTACGACCGGACCTTTCGAAGTCAGGCCTGCCTACAAGGTCGTCCGGGACATCTGTCAAGACCGGCCGCTTGTTGTATCACTGTCTAGCGATTCATCGGAAAAAGGCCCGTCAACTAGGTAGTCCCGGTCGCAATGAAGAATGGGACACGGCTCAGCGTCGGACAGGTGAACTATTCGACGAATCTCTGAAATGGTTCTGGCATGGGACTTATGATTTGCTCTCAGTATCGGAGATGGTTTCTCGATGAGGAAATGTTCCTCGTGATTCTGGTTGATCACCCGTCTCGCGGGGATACTACAAAGATCAATCACTACCGTCAGTGGCGACTGTCAGAGCAATAGAGGCGCAAAACCGCGTCTTTAAAACCGGACGAGAAACAAATGGAATTGGAGCAAATCGGCCTGCAGAACAAGGGGGACCACGCAATTGGTGCTCCCAATCCATACGAATGACTCTATCCCTCTTCGATCGTCGCTGGATGTTTGCGTTTGCGCTCACTATTGGCCGCGAGTTGAAACGTTTAGGGCAAAGAGGCGGTCTGTTTGGGGGGGGAACGTACGAATAATATCCTGCCCATCCCGGTGCGTGAACCGTCCAAGAGCCGCGAATGGTAGTCACTCATACTGCCTAGGCTTCTTAACCACTGAGCAGCGACCTTCGCAATTCACATGCTGATACATAAGATGAGGAAGCTTTTGGGGATTTAGCCGTCGCCAATCAGGGACACGACCAAGGTTGAGGCCCTACTGGTTTGGCGCTCTCAGGAGGGGTACGGCACCGTACTCGCTTAGGTACGGCCAAGCTTTCTGTAGGGTCCGGTGTCCAAACCAGGGTTCGGCTGCATCTCGTGGAGATGTAGAGCTTCGCTCTCAGTCGTACGGTACTGCGGCGATTTGTGAATGGGATCTTGCGAGAGTCATGCTACGGCACGAAACGTGCCCCCCTTTTCCAGGTGGCGAGAATCATGATATCTTCAACAAGTCGACAAACCGGTCTTATCTTGTCTTGAGTTTTGCTCTGTGCCTACCTGGGAATCAGTTGCATCCCGGCATCATTTCTCGGACGCCCAGCTCGCACATCGACAGTCTCCATGCTCCCGTCGCAAGCAGCGGATCATCGTCGTTGCTAGGCAGGTCTAGCTCCAGTCTGCCTGGGCCTCTGGTGGCATCGAACCTCTCTCGATCTGGGTCCGCAACTCAAATTCCTAGGATCACTGACCCCCCGCTAGGTAGCCCCAGCTCACAACAGATTCCGGGCTTCATGAGAACGCATGTCCGTCTAATCCGTCACCAATCCGATTTCCACATAGGACCGAAGGGTGATCCAATTCTACCGTCTAAGATGCTCCTTTATAGTAGATTCGAGAGCCTCATAAGGAATTCCCATGAACCACAGCATCCAGGGCGGTCAAGCAACGCCGCAGTGAAAGGTCGGCCAATTCCGCCTGACATGGATATGCTGGGCCGTCGGCGTCCGCCTGCCAAGGGCGACCGCGCGACAGGATGTGTTCCACAGGTTATCATATAAAGAGGAGTATCAGGAGACTCGGCAGCTTATCGGCGAGTTTGCCCAGCTTTCCCCGCCTCCCTCGCTGTTCGTCTTCGCGGCGCTGTCATTGGTCCTGTTCGTGGTGCAGGCCGTTTCGAAGATGAGGGTTGGGAACCCTAGAGAAAGAACTCTGTGTTGGGACTTCATTCATCGAGCTTATATTCCGTACTTGTGCAGTCGTAGAGACAGCAGTCCTTTCACCAGTTTTAATTGAGAACTGGTTGAGTTATCATGGCAACATGCAATATAACGGATGCTTAGGCTAGCAATCTAGACGCTGTTGCATTAATAACAATCCACCGAACATGCCAACTTTGTCTTGTTGTGATCTGTCAGTTTAAGCCCAGGTTAAGGATAGGAGGTTGGGCTTGATGGGAGCTCTTGTCGACCCGGTTCTTGATCTTCTGTCCAGTCCATGTATCCAAGGTATCGGAAAATCAGCCATGATAGCCCCTGAAGCAGTGAAGACACGCAGAAACCCATGTTTTCAAGAGAAAAATCCCCCAACTTCCGAGTCTAACCCCTAAACACAACAGATATTCGGTAAGAAACACCATAAACCCAAAGGGGAAGAAGTCCAGGACAATAAATAACCCGTGGGCATTTTTTCAGTCGATCCAGAGAGCGTCATAGAAACGAACCACGTCAACAAAACAGTCCCGATGACTAGTTCTGCGTCAAGAGAAGATGTGATTACAGTCTCAATCAGACGAGACCCGCCGGCTGCCTATCAACACCAATAGCACTCTGTTCTCCCAGCGGCACAGTGACAGCCCGTGAACTTCGCAAACTTAAGAATTACAATGTTAGGAATGGCCCACACAAGATAGGTAGGATCATGCCGACAGCCCCAAGCCCTTTAAACTCCTAATTCACCGCCCATATGGGAAAACAAGAGACACGAAAAGTCGAACCACAGAGTAAATAATCGCGCCAAATACCATCTGCAAGGCAATAGCAGTTACCATGTAACTGCTTAAGGGTACTCTGCACGTGAAGACCTGATTCCCGAGGAAGCCGACATGACGCCGGGTTGGCCGGAGAGCGTCAGTCCCCACCGACATAACAACAATAGATAGACAGATAGTATCAGCAACCGGCAGCACATCACCAAAATATTTTTCTCATTGTCGGAGTGATATATATAGTCCTCGCTAAATCATACGGCATGATATAGATTTTGCGTCTACTGGCGTGCAAGGCATATCGTATCCTATAGTTTCAATGACAAATTGTGAAGATAACCAGTAGTTTCACCAAACTTTGGAACGGATTAGCAAGGGCTCCAGGCCCAGTATTTTTGTTGATTCCGTCCCGATCCGACTGAAATGCGGAGTGGCGCCGAGCCCGTCACCCGCACCATGTAGAGAAAAAACCTGCAGGTTCATATCGCAGTGACGACGCCTCACACGTGTAAAACAAGCCAGAGGTATGCTCGTAATCCAAGACCGACCTATTCCAAATCAACCCTATGATGCGTGGTATCAATGCTGCCCCTCTCTCTCCATTAACGCCAGTCATAAACGTATGCAACCAAAATTTGCTCCTAGGCTAGCGTGCTGTCATCGCCCAGGCCTTTTTCCTTCCGTTCATCTTGTAACATCCGTATGAGTTTGTTAATAGTCCCACCATCGCGAAGTTTTTCGACTTCCTGTACGGCAGCATCTTCGTCCATGCCCTCAGCCGTGAATTCCCTTATCTTGTCCCATATCACCTTTCGCCTCGAGTACCACGTTCGACCACGAGGCTCCGGCCTCCATCTCGAGCCCCACGTGGCATCCAATTGCTCAATAGCTGGCTGGCCATCCATGCCTTCACGATACTCTTTCCAAACCTCCTCTACTGTGGATAAGGTTCGGTAGTCATATTGCGGGGGGACGGCAGTACTCGGTGTTGACGTGGAGACGGACGCTCTGGGGACAAGGTGACGGCTGGGCGAGGTGGGTGGTACGCGCGGGTCGCGCGAAGCGGTGCGTGTTGGCGTCCGCGTTGGCGGGCGCGGTGGGGGTGGGACGGCAGTCTGTTGAGGAAGTGCTAGAGGCGCAGGTATGGCGGATCGCATGGGCTGGTCTCGGGAAGTCAGGGCCTAGCAGAACAGCCTACAGTCAGCCACAGTACTTAAATCTGGGAAAGTGATAGACGAACCGATGCCGCAGCTTGATGGGACGCAATCAGACTGCCCCTCAGATCATCCAGTTGCTTGTTGATATGCTCGTATTGGACGTTGATTTGCGCGACAAACTGTTGGTGCTGGTTCTGGAGCTGAAGGATGGTCGCAATCAATTGCTCGGGGGTTCGGCCATGCAGCTGGTCCTCAGTGATAATGGGGGGCACGGGCATCATTGTCGGTGATGGCCCCGAGAGCAACTGGGAGTGCGATGCTGCAGGCGGCTCAATGCGAGTGAGATTGCCTGGAACCGGGGTGGATCGCACACCGTAATGAGCAGAACGAGGACCAAAACTAGTAGCTTGCCGTTTAGACGGCGTGGCGCTTGCGCCGGCAATCTGCTGCAGATCAGACGCAGCCGGTCGTTTGGATGTGATGGCCCCTGTAAGAGCTGTAGGCGCAGCAGTTGGCGTGGTGGTGTGAGCGAGCGGAACAGGAGCGCCAGCAGCACCAGCAGCGCCAACAGCGGTGATCGAGGCCGGGACAGGAGCAAGGGTCGCGGTAGAGGCGGCAACGGTCGATGGAGACGCAATACTACTAGTAACCTGGCTGGCGGATGATGGCTGGGGGAGCATTTCTTGCTTGCTTTGGTTGCCCGCTTTAGTTGCTCTCAAGACGGACGAAGACAGGCCAACCGCCTGCGTAAGCCACCGGCAGCGACAACAGTGCTACAACAAAGCGCGGCGCAGCGCAGCAGTAGGCGGACTCTAGCAGAAGTGGTCGCTGTGCCAGAAGTGCGAAAGTAGAGCCAAAACCCCTCTTCCCTGCTCTCTCTCTATTGTTGGTTCAGCTCTCGGACAGCAAAAAACGTGGCAT